CGTAAATCTAATAATTTGTACGATATTGTTAAGCTTATTGAACTATAACGTAAAATGCAAATGTAACTTGAAATCAAATTCATATTTGTCGGAACTCTATTCCTTCATGCCGTGAACGTCTCAGAAGCTACGTCTAAAATAATGAAACCAAAGTAAAACACACCTATAAAATTACTTAATTTCACAAGCTACATATTCAACAGCTGTTCCAAAGCCACTTGATATACAGGTATCTTTTCACAACGAGGTCATTCTTCATAGTAACGATTCTAATTTAATGGAACTACAAGTTTCATTTGTTCGTTAATCGAGCATGGTACCTTCCACATCTAAATCACGCATAAGCACATAACTAAATAGAGAGATAATTAGCCACAAGCATAACACAAGATTGATTTGCACCAGATCGCCCGTTGATATGTATACAAAGAGAATATTACACAAGAGAAATGAAGATTACTGCGTGCTCGTTAATAAACCTGGCCTGGGTGGCGAGCAATGCAAAATTCAGGGAAAATCCCCGATTCATGAATGTCTACATTTTGTAAATATTTTATCCGTATTTGACAATTGTTTATTAACGAGCGATTATCTGGCTAGCAATTAATCTAAAGATTACGCGAATTTCTACATTCGTAAGAAATATATTTTTAAATGCCGATTAAAGTTGAAAACAATAAATTCGTAAAAAAATGTTATTATTATAATATTACATAACAGTCATTGTTTGTCTTTTTAAAACTACAATATTATTATATATTAAAAAATAGCATGTGCACATAAAACGCTGCTTGTAAAAGTAACGAAAAACTTCCCCTCGCCTCCGCCAATAAAATAGATACATATATTACGCGATGTTTCCCTTCCACTTTGCATACCATATTTGCATGAATTGATTAAAATGGGAAGCGCTGTATAATGGACCGAATATAAATAAAGGGATTTATTTTGGCAGAACAAAAAAAAATTGAGCCTACGGTTCGGCTATTTAATTTTGCAGCAGGCCGGCATCGCCAAATCGTCAGCGGGGGACAAAAATTGCGAATGAATATTTCTGAGCTCAATTTCCTCCGTGCTGTACGATCGGACAATGTGTTTACCACGTAATAGAGACAAGAACGTCAGATTCGCAAAAGGGATTATACTCGAGAGGATATCGATCGGCGTCACGTGTGATCTTCGCCTACACGCCACGTTTACACCGAGGTATTCTCGTTTATTGAGTCCCGGCCCTTTTCTCTCAGCCCTACCAACAACCCCTCGTCAAGATAAATAAGTTCTTTCCTCATAAATAATACGGTAACAAAGCACACTCTCTCTCCTCTCTCTCTCTCTCTCTCTCTCTCTCTCTCTCTCTCTCCCCCCCCTCTCTCGTTCGCTCTCTCTCGCTCTCTCCCTCTGCCTTTTTATCGTTGCTCCATTGCGGCGGAGGCCGACAGCGAAGGCAAAATTCGCCGCTGCCTATCGTGGCTGCCCCAGTCGTAAATTTTATTCGCGAAATTAACCATTTTCTTAGGCCGCGCGGGATACAGGAAGACGTACGGCCGGGCATTTATATTTCCCGCAGAAATGCCCGTATTTCCTTTATTTCGATCATGCGTCAAGGGGCGAGGAACTCCACGACTGTTCCTTATCGTCACATTTAGAAGTGAAAAGGTGCGACGTGCCGCGATCTCTGGAGATAGGTAATAAGTACCAGGGCCTAAAACTTTTACCTGTGCCATTGCAACGGATATCGCGCGCCGTTACATTGTAATCTTACACTTTGCGAACAAGCTGAGCTGAGGAATGTATGACGCACTATACAACTCGTTTGAAATTACGTTTACATCGGAAAGAAAGTATTACGCATGCGCAACAATTTAATTCGGCACATTGGCTTCCTCGGTAAAGCATTAAATGACATTTATTCTTACAGTAAAGCTGAACTCACGTGAATCGTACGCAAGATCACTTTGCTATTATCCGCAAATCTGATGAAATTCTGATGAGAGTCGAATTTGAACCGCGACATTTTCGCGAAATTGGTAATAGTGCGACAATTTCGTTGCGCAAAATTTCTCGTTTCACAAAATTCCTCACGTTAAACCTAAAGTGCACGCTTATAAGCGAGGAACTTCAGTGAGAAGCGGCGATATATCTTCTCTGTCATATGACGGCGCGTTGTGAAATATAAACCCGCTCTTTTAAGAATGAAATCCGATAGATTTATCGCGAACGCGATCGCTAGGCAGTTTGTTAGCGAAGCCGATGCTCGTTAAGAGCCGGAGCTTACAGCCATCAGTGATAACAGCACGCGTCGCGTCAGGCGCGCACGCGACAGGACGCACCGCGCCGCGCGGCGCGGCGCGGCGCGGCGTCGCGGCGCGACGCGACGCGATGCGTCGTGTCGTGCCGGTCGAGCCGACGGACGATCGTCCTTTTAACTCTCTCGAATCGCAGCGACTCCGATTTAAAGTGGACCGGACGAGAAGCTGAGCCGAACGTCTCGGTGCGGCGTGGCGAGGCAAAGAACGTCGAGAGGAAACGTGGGAAAGGAGGGAAGAAAGAGGAAGGGAGAAAGACAGATGCGTAAGGCGGCGCTCTCTTACCTTCCCACGTCACGGCGAGGTACACGCGAAATCCGTCCACGCCATTCTCTCTCTCGAGCACAGCACCGCACTGCACCATACACAGAGCACCACTTGAGCAACACCTCCCTCCGCCGGTCGGTCTCTGTCTTGTTCTATATCCCTCGTTCCTTCCGTCCACCTTTCACCCCTTTCTATCTTGGTCCACCTGTCCGCTCCTCTCTCTCTCTCTCTCTTTATTTCGGTCTACCTCTATCTGTCCGCCCCCCCCTTCTCTCTCTCTCTCTCTCTCTCTCTCTCTCTCTCTCTCTCTCTCTCTCTCCCCCTCCTCCACGATCACGCCGGCAGGAAAGATCCTCCGTCTCGTCGGCCTCCCTTTTCCACGGCGCCTTCTCCTTGCTCGCGGGGGCGACGATCGGGCCGTGTCAATGAGCGCGACGCCGCCGATCGGGGACGACGACGACGACGACGACGACGACGATGACGACGACGACGGTGATGACGACGGCGGGCAGCGGCGACGTCGCCGACGGCGAGGGCGACGCGAGACGTGATTAGGAGGAAGAGGAAGAAGAAAAGGAAGCGCCTCCCTGCGGCACGCGCGCGCGCGAGAGAGAGAGACGATCCAGCATCCAGCTACGCCCGTGACAGCGTCTGGGCAACTACTGAGGAGAGGATCTGCGCGGTTCCGGCGCAAGCCTTCGTTCCCGTTTCGACCAGACACGGCGCCACCGTGGACCACCCTTTTCGACGAGGGTGAAAACGAGGGTCCGCGGTGACGCGCGGCCCACGAGGATACGGACACGCGCGCGCGCGCGCGCGCGCGTGCGAGTCCACGCGGGATAGGGGTGGTCCCGCCTGATATCGCGATATTAGAAAATATAGATGTAACCTTTTCTCTCGCCTCCTCGCTTTCGTATCTTCGCGTCCGCGCTTACTTGCCGACACTGCGGGTGATATCGATATATATTTTACGGGCATATCGGTATCCTACGCCGAGGTTATCGTTTCCTTATTACTGCCGCGTCCTTTCAGAGTGACGAGGCAGCGCCGTGTAAAGTGTTCCCCGCGATTTCACTCTCTTCACTTGTAATTGTCACGTGTGCAAATTGTAACGAGTAGTTGTGACGTTATTTTTTTCATTGTTATCGTATAAGACAATCTTCCATTATTCTATTTATAAGATATTCCGCGGTTTTTCTACGCTTAAACGAGTAATCGATACGCTTCGTAATTTCTCTCATTTCGAAATGAAAGTCTCTTATGCAATTACACTCGGCTTAATATCAATTTTTTCCACATTGCAAGGGAAACGGTAATTTATCGGGATCCTGCAAAAGCAGCCTATTCATATCAATTTCGGATATAAGCTAGACTGTCTCGAATAGAATTGCTGAATTTAAACTCTCGCGTCCCCCCCCCCCCCCCAAGAAACACAGATATTATAAACGCGTATCTTTCCGAGATTATGCGATACATTACGCTGCGGGCTAAAAACTCAAGTCGTCCCGACGACGAGGGTAGAAGCGAGCGTACCACCGCGCTGAAACTCAAACTTATCGCGGTCGTGTAAGCTGCACCGGCGGGGATTACGAAATGTATCAACACTCGGCTTAAAATTTCATTTAATTAAAGTTTGCCGAGAGCAGCGCTCGCCCGCGCTTCCAGATATGCCGATCGGGGCCGCGAAGATTACACCGGCGAGATAACGCGGCATCTCGGCGAGATGAGTCGCGCGCGGTCGATACCGCGTTGCGATATCGGAGGCGGCGATATCGTACGTCGTTAAAAAGGCGAGGCCCGCCCTTTACCCGTCGCGGCACGATCGTCAGTAAATTCGACGGGGCTACGTGACGGGGGCCTCGGTCACAATTTACGGCTGAGAACCGACGTGTAAATAGCGAGGAACAGACGATATTTTTGCGGAACGACGCCGTGATCGGAATCACGGTAGCAATCGGAAATTTCCCCCTTGCGCCTCCCGCGCGATATAACGACACCATAATTTGCATTTGACGCAATCAATTGTTGAAAGAACGAGAGACGCGACCGCGCAGATTGTGGATTGTCTTATATTTCGATCTCTGATGCGACACGCTGATAGAAAAATATGTAGAATTTGAAACTATAAACTATAATTACACAGTAAAATAATTATAATCAGGAATATCATTTTTATAGTAATTGTTACTATAATAAATATTTGTAATAGCAACCATATAGACACAGTAATGCCAATTATTTAAAAAATTTACTATAAAATATAAGCTTTCAACTATTATTCTGTTAAAATATCCAGGTAATGAATAGTAAATTAGTTAATTATTTTTATATAGTAAATACAATCGCAATAATAGTAAATTTAACTACATTTCAATCATCCACCTTACTAATCACATGGTAAACAAAAGTGAAGTGGTTAGAGTGTATAATTATATTTTCTCGAAAGAGAAAATTATACACTCTTCCCAACACGAGTGTATATTTTTAAACAATATCTTTCCTCAATTATCAATTGAAATGTCACATACTAATATATAATAATTATTTCCATAGTTTCTGAAATGGTAGTTCTCCCGTGAACAATAATGCGCTTCGCCTTGCCGTGGAGATGTAGAGACATCGATGTCAAGTTTACACTGTATTAAAAAGTCAGAAAACATGAAATACCAAAAATGTTGTAGCATCTCGTTAAAAAATTTTCCATACAAAAGGTGTCAAAACGAAAAACAGTAGATTGGGTCAAACGGAGAAGAAAAGTTATGTACAATTTTGCAAAAGTCGCAATAGTTATTGAATAATAAACAAAAACATATAAACGCGTGCGACGCGAACAACCTACTTTATCGCACAGTCAGTATAAACGGTTTTATTAGATAAAGTACCAATAAGTAATTTAACCTTAAATTAATTTAATTAATTAATCTTAAAGACCAATCTGTAGATTGTAATACGCGATTGTAATATTGTAATACGCGCTATAAGCATTGGTCCAAGTTCTAGCATTGTGGACACAGGCCTTAAGAGCCCTGGCACACAGAAAAACTTAAACATTAAAACTGAAGCACTAAGTGAATTAAGGTGGAAAAACACGAAAAAACTTAAACGGTAAAACTTAAGATTTAAGGGAAATGACCAATGACTGTCGAGAACGTAAGCAGTCATTTTGAAACTTAAGCAATGCTGAAAATTCCGATTGTTTGAAATTCTCAAGTCTTAAGTTTTACTACTTAAGTATTTTGGATTGGGCTTTGACAGTGCGAAAGCCCTTCGGGTCTTTAATCAATCACAGTCGAAACCTTCAGCAGTCATTTTAAAACGTAAGCTACGCCGAGAATTTCATATGGCTGACATTCTTACGTCTTGAGTCTTACTACTTAAGCTTTTTTGTATGTATTGTAGACTGGGACTAATAATAACAGATAATATCAAGATGTACACATACATTAGCATAATCTGGAAAAACGGTAGGTGTCCCAATTATGTCAGAGGCAGTATAAAATACGCCATATGAATTAGGGTGCCCGGGAAAGACTTCCTTCACAAATTGATAAATGAAGTCAGCACAATGCTTCTCTCCTGCGGATACTTTGCCGACATAGGGATATCGGCTGCAACTCTCAGGATATAAAAATTGATGGGATACCATATTCGCGGGATTTCTGAAAGAAAACAAAAGATAGCGAAAAAATGAAAATTACAAATTTTATCTTTTTTAACCCTCCAACTTGGATCATTCACATAATTTTAACATTGATCGACTCTTACACTGCAACTAGCTTTTCATAAAACTATCAACGTCACCATTTTACAGAACGAATAAATGCAAATTAAACATTTGGTTCTTTTTAATCTTCTAACTTGGACTATTTACATAATTTTAACATTTTCAAATAAACAAGCTTTGATCGGCTCTTACTCTGCAATAGGCTTTTCATAGAACTCTTACTTTCACCGTTTTACTTGGCGTGACGAACTTATTCACGTTATTTAATGCGCTACAGGTTTGATGACACCGATGCACTCAGATACGTTATTCAATTATTCTTACAATTAAACGTGACCGAGTTGGCTTACTACCATTTTGGATATGGACATGGCTCTGGTTATTATACGATGCGCCCCTCGCGATACCGTCCCGCAACGACAATTTTATGAACTGCATATTTCCACCGGTTTATTTAATTTTTAATTATGGCTCTTTTACACAATTTGTTGCGCTGACAAAGACTGTTACAGTCGAAACGTTCACGTATACGATTGTTCAAATATATGTTTTTCACACTGTCACCTTATGTAGCTCGTCATCGTTGTTCAGCCTGTTCGCTTGTTTATTTGAAAATTATAAAGATAAAAAAATTTAATCGAAAAAATTAATTTATCGACTTTCCTATTAATGCACTGTGAATCGTCAGTGAAACAGCTATGGGTTTTTCCAAATAAAATGAAAAAGTCAAGAAAGAGAAGAAATATGAGACCACGGGGCAAGCAAATGCTTAATTCTTCATCGTTTTACTTTATAACATGAATGAGCATATACAAAACCGCGAAGCATGGGAAAAATAAACGCGAACTGAATAATGAGAATTTCTTGCTTTTCTTACCTTTAGAAAAGGAATGTTCAAGTTTTCACGATTCGATCACAATCAATATCTTATGTACATGTATTCAGAGAAGTGTACACCGGCGGAAATACCGTCCGAATTGGTCCGAATCCGCGACTCGCACACAATGCTCGGGTCGCTCCACACTCCCGCCTGTAGGTGAGGTAGCGGTAATGCGAGCCCAAGCGGTTGGTGTGCGACGGGGCGGTGGAGACTACAGCGGTGTTAGCAGGATAGGAACGGTAGTGGGGAAATGATTGTGGGAATCACGACGATCTACCACCCTCCTCGCGAGCCGTGTAAACGAGAGGCCGCATTATGAGATGTGCCTCGCGTTAATGCCGTCACTATTCGTGCAGCGTTAGGATACGTACAATAATTATCGTATCTGTACGTTAATTTTAGCCATTTTACGATGTACGATAGTAGCACTTTGGATATCGTACGTGAATATACGATAATTTAAAAAATTAATTTTATACTGTGACCAAATTCAATCTAAATTAAAAAGATAGATAAAATTTTAGCTGCAATGTATTACTACGACATACATGTATAGCCTAAAATAAATAGCCAAATATACCTTCATAGAATAATGATTTTTCTATCTTTATGGAAAAGATAAGGAAACTGCGACATATTTTCTTTTTGCTTTTATTTTGATAATAACAGTTTTAATTATTAATTTCAGTTATATAAAATATAAAGGAACCATCAATAATGTGATCATTTTACAATTAGGGAATTGCTCCAGCTCTTTAAGAATGTAAACTTATCACAGTAACAGATATTTATTTGCTAAATAAACATACTTTTGTCGTAGTAATGTACTTATTAAATGTGAATACACACATAAATATCAAATTTTGATGTATCGCTAGAATATAAAACAATATAAAATACACATTTTTAAATATATATATTCTCAGTGAAATTAATAATTAAATATATATATTTATTAGTTAAACTATATAATAACCCCGAAATAAATGGCCAAATACCTTGACTTTACAACTTTTTCTTATCCTTAAAGCAAAAGACTGCAGTTACAACGAGAAAAACTTTGGCGATATATCTCAGGAAGTAAAAAAAGAAGATGTACAAAGGAACAAAATATTAATCAAATGTTAATTAAATATTAATCAAATATTAGTCAAATATTAGTAAAATAAGTCATACTTATATACTTTAGAATCTTTCACATAAAAATGCAAATAAAAATCCTTTGTTTGGTTAATGCTCATTACTACTGTACTTCCACTCCTTGAATATATTTGTCGAAAATTTTGAAGTCTCTCAACTAGAAAAATTTAATTTTTAAACTTAACGTTTTATTTATTATTTACTATGTTACTTCTTAATATTGAATATTTTCGCTCATTATTAAATCGATATTTTATTAAAATAAAATCCATGTAGAATTATACAGGGTGAGGAAAAAGTACCGGACCGGTAAAATATCTCGAAAAATATGGGAGATACGGAAAAATGTTTTAGACAAAAGTGGTACGGTTTTAAAAGAGCTATATAATGGTAAAATTAATTTTCGAACGAAATTAATTTTTTATGATTATATGGAGGTCGCCGCCATTTTTTTAAATGGAACCCCATCTTGTTTAGTATACTATCTTATTCTACTAATTAATATTAACAACTTTTGTCTGAAACATTTTTTTATTTGCCTAATACTTTTTGAGATATTCAAGAGAAAATTTATAACTTTTTCAATGTTTAGCTTATGATATCTCGATAACTGTTTGTCAGAGGGAAAAATAGTACAGGACTTTTTTACTTAATTTGGTCTCAGGAATATGCTGTTGTAATAGTGCTTCAATTATGGAAAATTTTTGTGTATTCTACAAATTTACATACACAAAATTTTCAATAATTAAAGCACTATTGCGACAGCATATTCCTGAGACCAATTCAAGTAAAAAAGTCCTGTACTACTTTTCCCTCTGACAAACAGTTGTCGAGATATCATAGCTAAACATTGAAAAAGTTATAAATTTTCTCTTGAATATCTCAAAAAGTATTAGGTAAATAAAAAAATGTTTCAGACAAAAGTTGTTAATATTAATTAGTAGAATAAGATAGTATAATAAACAAGATGGGGTTCCATTTAAAAAAATGGTGGCGACCTCCATATAATCATAAAAAATTAATATTTGTCGAAAATTAATTTTACCATTATATAGCCCTTTTAAAACCGTACAACTTTTGTCTGAAACATTTTTCCGTATCTCCCATATTTTTCGAGATATTTTACCGGTCCTGTACTTTTTCCTCACCCTGTATAAGAGAAATTTTTATTATTTACATATTAAGGTGAATAATTCTTCTTAAAGCGAAGAATTTGTAATGCACTAGAAATACAGTAGTAATAAAATCCATTGTGATACACTATAAACTAAAAAAAATCCTAGTAGAAAATGCTAATAAGAGAATCTAAATAAAGAGGAACATTTCTAAATAATGGAAAAAACAAAAACGATAACAAAAAATATAAAAAAATTAAGTATTAAGTATCGACTTATCAAAATGTAAAATTATCCGTAAAGTCTGAAATTACTCGTTGAACTATAAATATATATCGAACGAACAGTTAATATATTATACTTATGTGAGCACTTCTGATGTTCATGTCATGTATGATTTGCGTAATTTCTTAATCGCAATCTCAAATTAAGAACACCACGTTAGTAACCCCAGTCATCAGTGGGTTACGTTCTATTGGATTTATTAATCGTCATGAAGAAGCATGTGCCTTTGGAAAGCGCGATATCTAACGTACGATTTGGGACACTTGTTACAGTAAAACCTGTTGTGAACACCAAATGAGACTTTATGCGCTATCCGTAAATGCTGAGATAATGACGATCTATGTCTGTAAATTTGTTAATAACATATATGTACATAAAACATACATTCCATATGTGTTTGCAATTATATAACGCATTTATAGCGATAAGCAAGCAAAATTATTTATCTATGTATTCTTACCTATATATTTTATCGCAGATATGACACTTGAAATGCTCATTGTAAAAGTTGCAATGAGTTTTATAGTGTTTCCATAATTGATGCTTTTTATTAAATAGCTTTCCACATTCAGAACACTGGATAACACACAAATCTAAAGTAAAGATATCAATTGTATATTTTTAAGCAATTAATATGATAAAGATTCAAAGTAATAATTTATCATATATAATTTAATATCGTAATATAATTATTTTCTATCTCTTATTTACCAGTTTTATTTTCCGGTGTCTGACGTTTAAAGTTGGAGACAGGTACATCAGTTGAGGCCGAGTTGGCAACAGGTACATCAGTTTGAATCTGCGCTTCATTTTTAGTATTTATTTCCTCTCCTTTCATCGAGAAGTTTTCCAAATTTAAATAATTGGAGATATCCCTATCATCGTAAACTCTTGCATTTTCCACTCTTACTCTCCCATTGGGATATGTAACAAGTTCTGTAAGACGTGATCCTACGCAATCTTGTATTTCATCAATGTGACAAGGTTGTGAATTTTGTGATTGATTTTGTTCTATGGACGACACGTTTGCACTGCTTTCGATTAGTTCTGTTGTACTCTTAGTGCCATTTTCTTTCTTAATGCTGTTCTCGTCAAACTCTTGGTAGTAAAGATTTGTCTGTTCAAAGTCCATTGAATTATTTTCAAATATCTGAAAGTAATTATTATTGTAAAAGTCAAATATATTTGTATCCATGTCACACTTGAAGAGTTCTGCTTCCAAATCGTCACTGTTTGTTGAAGGTGAAACCGGAGCTTCATAAAATATAATGTCTTTGTCGTTTGACATACAATTTGCGCAGGAACAAGAATACAATATTTTAGATGTAGGTAAAAAATTATATCCAATGTCCCTGTCTTGCTGCAAATTATTCTCTGTTATTGGAAACTCGTAACTCGTAAGATCTCTTTGGGTGGTTTTACGCAGCGCTGTGTCAAACTCCGTTGGTTGATTAGAAATAACATGATTGAGATATATATCTTTCTTTCTCTCGACACTGTAAATCTCGTTGTTGTAGTACAAAGTATTAGGCTCAACCAATGGTGTCGCACTGTCGTGTAAATCGGTTACATTAACACTTGGAAAATTAGAGTTGCAGCTGGGCTGAATGCATATATCACTCTCCAAAAAATTATTAGCAGTTTGCATTACTACAGTGTTATTCATATTTACTATTTCTGGAATAGTGGCTAAAGGATCCGGCTTTTTACGTGACGTTCGCGGTTCTCTGCCAGATTTGCGAGCTGTTGATTTTTTTGACTTTTTGTTAAGTTTCTTCTGCTTGTTGTTACACTTTACTCTCTTCGTCGGTACGCTCTCCTTGCACTCTCCTGGTGACGCACGTAATGACGCAGTTAATTGATCAAATGTTGGGAGTGCATTTTTATTTTTGTTATTGTTGCAATCGGGAATATCGTATCGCACGTTCAACAGGTTGTGCACTTGCTTCCTTTTGTGGTGCGGCTTTGGTGATTCGTTTTTATTGTAATTCGCCTCCATATCCAAATCAATACTGGACGATGAATTTAATTCCAAAGAGGTATTTCCGTCTTCCACACTGGATACAAAGGTGGCATCGATTTTGCTCAATGTTTTACAACTTCTAGACGTCCTTGCGTTATTGCTTCTTAAAATATTAGGCAAACTCCGCTGAATACTCTGCAATGTAGCTTGACTCGCGATGGTTTCCTCCTTAAAGACATTTTCCTCCGGAAAAACAGTTTCGAAGGACTCTATAGGAAAATGTACGTTCTTCATCTTTTTCCTGGTATTATCAGTTCTGGTATATACAGACCTCTAGCTAGTAAACAAAATAATTGATATAAATGTTTGTTATAAACATTTGTTACGGCAGAATCTCTGTTAACATAAACCCGATCTACGTTATAGATAAATCTACGATAATACGTTTAAAAATTGTGTGCAAATTAATAAACTGTACCCTATACAATTGTACAATCGTACATTGTCGACAAATTTTTTGAGCATTTTGAATTGCCTATAAAATACAAAATAAAATGTCTCTAGAGCAAAAAACACATTAAGGCCTGTGTTCACGTTGCTAGAATAGACGAGGCTTAATTTAAGTTAACAGAGATTCTCCCATAAGAATTGAATAGAGGCTGATTTTTTTGCGATAAATATTTAATCTTTAACCTTGCGATTGGCTCTTGCATTAGCACAAATAGTGCAATCAGATCTTAGTACTGTAGCTAATTTACGCATTCAGTCTGACTCATTAAAACTCGAGATACCCGCGAATCTCGGTCGACGCGTGAAAAGCAATGAGCACGCTACTAAAGGCCATTCTACAATTGCGTAAACGTAGTTGTAGGGTTGTAGGAGTAGAAGTAGTAGTAGGTGTTGTACAACAAAGTAATATACAATAGAGTAAGATACATCGTAATTGAAGTGAATGATAATGAATCAGAGTACAGTTCGGTATGGACACGTGACAGAATTCTGATTGGTTAGCCATTACGTTCTACATCGTGTAGTCGTGAAAGATGAAGTTCAGCCATCTTTTACAACAGGCTTTACAATCAGAAATGCTAGTTCAAAGTTTTACAACACTGCACAACCGCTAACAACCACGTTTACGCAATTGTAGAATGGCCTTTAGCCTAATATTACATTTGTCGTACGACAAATTTTTTAAGCGTGTTGATTGGCCGCAGGATAGTAAAATTCTCGAGTATCTTTATAGAAATTTTCTATTCGGCAGCCAATCAACACGCTTAAAAAAGTCGTGCGACAAACGTAATATTAGGCTTAAAGGCCTGTGTCCACCATGCTACTTGGTTCAAGTTCTTGGATCGTGGACACAAAGCTAAGAGGCACTTGGTCCAAGTTCTAGTTTCAAGAAATGTGAAGCCAATTGCAGCTTTTATGGAATAGCTGCAAGTTGATTGGCTAAACATTTGTCGGAACTTTGACACAGTTCTTGGATCGTGGACAAAGTTTTACACATCTGAGGTGTCGGAGTGCTTTCTCCCCCCTTCTCTCTCCCCCCTCTCTCTCACTCTCTCTCTCGCTCGCTCTCGCTTGAACACACTTCACGCCTCAGATTTGCAATGACAAACGCAGCTAACGAGCACCGACTGAATTGGGAATACGTCTGCATTACGTACCTTCCGAAAAGCCACGAGATCGTCAATGAAAAACGCTCGCCGTCGATCCGCCAGCGGGAGGAAAGTGAGCGTCGGACTCGCGCGAGATCGTCACAGGTCCTGGGAGGTTCGGTGCCGCTCGTAGGGCGACTCTAGCCAGCGATGAAAATTCGTCCGACACCGGCCGTGGCAACCGTGGATCACACAACCGCCTCTCACGTCGCCTCTCGTCCGCGCATTACTGAGGCTCGCGGTGACGCGCCAGAGACATACACACACACACACATACACACATATACACACACACACACACAGACACACACACACACACACATACAGACGCAAACTCGCTCTCTTTTTCTCTATGCTCTGTTACTCTCGTTCTTTCTCGGCTACTAAACAACAAGGGAAACCTGAGAAGACCTTGAGAGAGCGATAATCGCGCGGAAAAAGATAAGTTCCCTACGGGGCGCCGCGAATGTAAACAGAGTCGCCCCGTAGCCCGGCAGCGTCGCCTTTCTTTTCTAAACTTTTTTTTACGCTGTGTTCATGCCGGTTACCCAACAAATGCGCGGCAATGCGCCGCGATAGGACGTATACAGGTATACAGGGTGAGGGAAAAGTACCGGGCCGCCATTTTTTTAAATGGAACTCCCTATTGTCTATTATACTATTTTATTCTACTAATTAATATGAACAACTTTTGTCTGAAACATTTTTTGATTTGCCTAATACTTTTTGAGATATTCAAGAGAAAATTTATAACTTTTTCAATGTTTAGTTTATAATCTCTCGATAACAGGAATATGCTGTTGCAATGGTGTTTCAATTATTGAAAAATTTTGTGTATGTAAATTTTATGTGTTGCAATATTGGAACACTTTTACAACAGCATATTCTTGAGACTAAATCAAGTAAAAAAGTCCTATAATACTTTTCCCTCCGACAAACAGTTATCGGGAGATTATAAGCTAAACATTGAAAAAGTTATAAATTTTCTCTTGAATATCTCAAAAAGTATTAGGCAAATCAAAAAATGTTTCAGACAAAAGTTGTTCATATTAATTAGTAGAATAAAATAGTATAATAAGCAATAGGGAGTTTCATTTTAAAAAATGGCGGCGACCTCCATATAATCATAAAAAATTAATTTTTTTGGAACATTAATTTTACCATTATACAGGGTGTCGGATTCGATTTGGACGACTCCGAA